AATTTGATCTCTGGTCAAGGTGTGCGGCATGTGCTGAAAGCTAGCATCTTCAGAGCGGATGTGCCTGTTTGATTTATGAATTTGTGTATTCTCGGCGTTTCTGCCTGGACCGGGATTCCGTTTATTCAGTGGCACCGTTGTCATTTTCACTGTCGAAGTGTATTTTGTTGAAGAAAACGCTGTTGATATTTGAAGCCGTGAGGCATAACTTAGCCTTGCTAAGGAAATTTGATGTAATTTTTTTGTACAGCTTTTGTGATATTGTTTTTTTCTGTACTTTAGAAGCTGCTGGCTTCTAAGCCCTCATCGACGCTCCCAATATCGTCACTGTGGAAACAGACGTTGGAAGAGTTCGGAAAATGGTTGTTTGAGGTCCTTTCTCCTGATAACGATAGTTCTCGCAATCTCGTTCCAGCTCCCTACAATTTGCCCTTCTATGAGGTGTTTTACGGGCCAACTCAGGAAGCAGAGATCATGGCGCTCACGCGAAATTTAAATCCGCCTTTAATTAAGAGCATTCAGGATGCGCTCTGCAATACCGACTGCTTTTTTCCGGTAAGGCTTACCACTTTCGGTAAGCGTTGCTTGCTTAGAACGTGTAGGGGTTGTGGTTAATCAAGCGTAGAACTCGTTGTTTCCAAAGCCATGCTGAATGTTGTAGTGAATTACAAACTTAAACGCGCTTATCTTGCGCTATTGCTCTTTCATTTTCGTAGCAATTTGAGATTGACAACAGAGACCATGAATTTGTGCTACCTAAGCCAAACGTTAGGGCTAAATTTTGCAGTTGAAAGAAATCTTTGCTATGGTGCGTCAGTACTCACCGAAACTTATGGTGTGAGCCAGTCTGATCCAAGCACTGTTAATCAGGACGGCAATCAGAGGTGGTTTGATTCCCACTCCATGGTTCCGACGCTCATTCTCGTGGGTTTTTCGGCCACCACAATTTGTCAAGAAATGTTAGGAGCCGAATTCTTTTTGTGAAGCTGATGAATGCGACGTCTGATGCTTGATATGTGTGCTAATAGCGTTGCACTCCTTATTGCACAGATGGGTCATCCTAAAAACGTCCAGCCGGCCTGACAATATTTGCAGTAAACATATCGCATTCACTTCCAAATGCAGTGAACTTCAAGTCCTCTGTTAAACTCGAACGTCCACGTGACGCATTAAATTTCATTTTCTACAGCGTAATAATATTACTATTTCGTTGTAGATAGCGGATCACTTTGATTCTACCGTGTTGGACCTGTGTGTTGCTTACAAAATCTACAGAGAGAGCAGCTCTTTGATAAATGTCTACGATTGGTTGATTGTAAGTTTTTGCTCGGTTTCCTGCTCGATTACCGCATTGGCAAGTGGTAGTAGTTGTGACGGTGGTGTGGCCTTTTTTCCCCCTATAGGTTGAGCACCTCTCCCTAATCCCCAGAAGGGGACGACTCCTCTTGAATAATCGATGCATTCTCCTTTTCTATAGTTGATTTCCTTTGGGGATAATCTCTTGACTTAGCCTTATCAGCGCACACGTGCCGGCTTTGTTGGCACATTTTAACTCCGTTTAATGAAGGGGGATTTCTTCTCCTAGGCATTCGATGCTATATTGGAACCGTCTTCAGCCCCCGCGGACACCGGTCCCAGTCGTCTCATTCGGTAACTTTGGGACCATTTAATTCCTTTCAGTTGGATGGAGGCTATATTTTGCCATATTTCGAGTTTTTATTCGTTGCTTAATTAACTAGTACCAATTGGTTTTGTTTCTCTTATCTGCGCCAGTAATTTCAGTGCAGAACACTAGCTGAGCCATTAACATTCTTTTTGTGTGTGTATGTTTTAGGTCTCGCTTCCTTCGTGCTTTGCTTGACTTAGAGCAGATGGGATTGGT